TGACCTCTATCGAAGTTAGATGCAAGCACATACAATCATGAGTGAGACCTATCATATCAGTATATATTCCTGTGGCAACTATCCTAAGCGGGTAATTGAATGTGTATTTACTATTCTAGACACGGTCAACACATGCGAGTATAGACCCACTAGTCGATTCACACACCTTCTAGGCCCCTGTCTTGTCAAGTGAGCATTCTCTGGTAGTTCTTGATGCCAAACATTCGTTAGGAATAACGACCACCGTAGCAGCACTATGGTAAACATAATGATCGTTTTTCTCCTTTCTTAATGTACGAATCTATATCATCATAAAAGGTGAAGAGGTATCCCTCAATGCATGAACACACAATGATACATGAGATCCCAACATTTTTTCTTTAATTATCATATATTATAACCCCTCTAGCGTTTTCCTTTATGTCATCATTTTATCATAACTTCCATGCATATATTGGGGTTGTGCATTAGGTCAATTCATCATATTGCATGTCAATCATATCATATATCATTGATGTCGAACATATGTCATATAATAAACTTATCATATCTTCTAACGTGTGAAATCATATCATGCACATATCATATCATATATCATAACATTCACATATCATAACACAAACATGCCTTCAAACATATCCTATCTTAACATATCATACCGTATACATGTCATTTCATTTCATACAACACAACATTAACATATCATAACGTACATATATCATTTCATTGCCGTTCAAATATATGAGCATATGAAACATACGAAACCACGAACATGTGTCATCGTACAACATACAATTATAACCAAACTGATAGTAAGGCCACCTACTTGGTTGGCCTTAGCTGATGTTTCCCTAATTTCGAGTACGTTCTCTTTTCGTTCCTCGAAATATCTCCAAGTATCACCAGTTGTTGTTTCTCTTAGAACGTCCATCTAGTTTCATTAGTAACTCAAATTTCTTAACTAAATCTAACTTTAATCGAGATATTAAACCTTAGACTGAACTTAATTTCCTTAAACAAGGTCAATTTCAGTTTCGGGATGGTCAAAACGGTGGAAATTTGGCAAAATACCCTTTACCAAGTCGAGAGAGTGAATTTTGAGCCGCGGAGTCGAGCCGAAGCCGAGTCGACTAAGCCGTGTAAGCCGAAGGGATAGATGCGACACATGGCACAACGAGGCACTGACTCGTGTGCGTGTCGAGTCAGGTCAAGGCGCGAGTTGATGCAGGAGCACGGGTCGCGGGCCGTCAGGCTAGGCTGAACTTGCTGTAGGTGGGCTGATGTGGCAGTCTCGGGTAGTGGGTGTTGGGCTATAGACGCGGACATTGGACCGAGGGTAGAAGGGTTAGGTAATGGGTTATCGATGGGGTACCTGATGCAAATCTCATAAATTTTTCCCATCGACTTTCTCTCTCCTTGCAAGTGTTCTCTTGTTCTTCCACCCAGAACTCGGCTATCCTACACCTCTGGTTGCTTTGCTTCACGGTGAAGATGTTGGTACCTTAATATATCCTGAAAACGAAGAGGTATGAGGTTATTATTCCTTTTTTAGAACCTTCCTTGGCTAATGATTGTGAAGCTGTTTTGTGTGCATGGGATTAAGGGAGAGTGTGTTCGAGAGGGGTGCAAGAATTCTGACGACCAAGCAATTTCTTTTCTTCTCCCGTTCCGTCGATACATATTAGATACAAAATTTAAAATTCATGAATATGTTAGAGACAGATTCTTAAGTTGAGATTGAATAAACATTATCTAATTTGTGATCTATTAAAGCTAAACCTACCCTTGTAATTTAACCTAATAATAGTAATTTTTCTACAATTATTTGGTATCTTTACGTTTTAAAATAATGTTAATTAAAATGGACAAATATAAATATATGTACCTAGTTATATCAATTAAAATATTATGGTATCAATTTATCCTCTTATAAGTGAATTAATTTACATCCTATCTAAAGAAATCATTTCGTCCTCTCTCTCCCATGTAGCTTCTTTAAAGGTTGATTATGCCACGACTTAACAATTAATATTGCATAAGTTTCTCTTCTTAGTTTAAACTCTTTAACCTATTTTTGCTACTAAAATAAAATCACTACGGCATGAGTAACGAATTCTTTACAAACTTTTTAAGACGATGTCATGGACTTACGTGGGAGTTGCTAAGGCATATAACAGGTGGGAGTTGCTATTGGAATCGAGCTGAGTCGAGCCAAGCTCACACTAAGGAAAAGGTGGGTTGCAACGTTAGGTTGGGTCGGGCTCACGAGTTCGAACACAATTCCTAGGCTTATGATGCGTGTGGGTCACGGTCCGAGTCGAGCTGCTGGGTTGGAGCGTCGTGCGTCATGGTCCAAAAGTCGGAGTGGATTTGGATTAGGTCGGAGCTAGGTGTTCGGATGATGAATGTGGGTTGCACTAACAGGGTACCCTAGGCGACTATTTTGGGTTAGTTCTCCAAGCCTAATTAGTTTCATATATGAGCCCATGGTTCGGGTCTTCAGTTCTACCGAGGCTGAGGGTCGGGTCTTTGGCTTGGATTCCGAGCCTGAGGTTCGAGTTTCTAGGCATATTGTTAATTTTTCCTTTAGTTGGCGTTTTTTCTCGTTTTTTGCCCTATTTTCAACCAATTTTTGTCCAATTTTGATCTATTCTTACCTCTAAATTCTTGTCTCATATATCTAATTTTCTCGAACATCTCATGCCAAACTTAGAAAACAATTAAAAAATTCATTATTTGCTAACATCAAAATCAAGAGAACAATTTGAAAATGGATTACAATATGCAGACATTTATGATATCTAAAGCATAATTATCGTAATTCAAATCTGAACAATTGCCACAAAAATTAAGACAAGAAAAGTGTTCAAGAATAAAACTTACTCAGAAGCCTTTTTTTCAATGGGGATTCCTTCTCGAACAGATTGAAAGCTTCTAGCGTTGGGATCAACTTGAGCTTACCCATTTAACTATGGATGAAACATCGTGCTGAACTTCAACGCCCTCCGAAGGTTCTAAAGAACTTGATCAGACATTATAGACATCAATACATCAATATCCTATGCAATCTAATAATCTTCTTCTGGTACATTTGACCAAATTATCCATTGAATAGGTGAACTATTCATGTCAAAGGTGAGGTGACTTCGTGAATTTCAATTACTACCCATATCGTAGTATAACCCTTATAACCAAAGCCCCGAGACAAAACCTATAGTGCTTTTGTAACCATTTGGTAATCAATGTCGATATTGCACCGACTTCTTACTCAATGCATCTTCTACCCCATTGGATATATTAGGGTGGTTCTTTATGTCCTAAAATTTTGTAATTAATGATTTAAATTCAATAAACAACGTACCATGTATGATAAGTATGAATGAAATATCACAAATATGTGTATGTCTCATAGGAAATTTATGTTATGATAAGTAAGGAAGTATGATGTGTATCACCTTATTGAATCTTGATTTTTAAAACAGAACATCATATGTGATATTTGTCACATGAGCATGGAGTAATTCTTCAGTGTACGTTCAACTGCGTATACCACAATATTATACGTGCTCCCTTCTTTTTTTATTGATTTTCAACAGCTTGAATGTGCTCTAGGTCATAATCAGGCTTAAGAGATACATATATGAGCCCAATAGTGGGTTGATGTGTGTGCGTGAAGCATGAGTAGAGAACTATTATGCATCCAACCCTACTTAGAAAAAGAAAACTAAAACCTGAAATATGTTACTTGTGATAGCATTTGTCAATTCGAGCGGAGCCACTTGCTAATATTTTTAAAAATTCATCCTATGTCTATAACTTTTTCAAGTCAAGACAAGGTATTGGTGTACGGATGATCCACCAGGAGACCATAGAATTAAAGACACACATAGCCTTCAACATTTACATTATAATTCCATGATGGGTAGTTTAGTAACATTTTCATCTTTACACATAAACTATACTTTCTTATATTCAAATAATATTTTTACCTTATTTACAATGTCTATTAACATTTAAATAATAATTTTTTTTACTATGAAATGTTTTTAAATAATTTTCTGTACACATCAATCATAACATGCACGGAGTAATATTCTTATTTTAAAAGAAAAATTATAGTCGTTATATAAATTGTGAAATAGTCTAAATTAAATCTTTAAGACAATACAAAGGAAACTAAAATGTCTAAATATTCGAGAATTAAATTGAAACAATCACAATCATAAATATCAAAGTTGCTATGTTAAAAGTAGAATAGATCATATCCGAAGATAATCTACTGATTTACTTGTTTGTTACCATGAATAAAGAAGAATCTATGATTTCTGGTTTGTTACCAAATCTATGATTTCATGGTTTGTTACAATGTAATCCTCATTATACACATTTATAAATACATGAAGCCGTGACCCATATAGGTCATAGTGTCATTCAACCTAACATGGTACCAGAGCCAAGGTTTATTCATTAAAATGTCTATCATATCTTCTTCTTCCTCCCCATCCACCATCTCCAACACGATCTCAACTACCATGGGATCGACCTTTGGCCCAATCCCTATTCACCACGTTATCACAATCCGTCTCACCAAAAACAACTTCATCATATGGCGCGCCCAGCTCTCCTACCTTCGAAGTACGAAGCTTATGGGCTACCTTGATGGCACCATTGCCACACCTGCCAAGCTAGTCCCTTCCTCAACCGCTGTTGGTCCTGACTTGGTCTCTAATCCAGCCTATGATCAGTGGTACGATCAGGATCAACAGGTCCTTATCGACCTTCTCTCCTCCATGTCTGAGGAGATTCGTTACGATGTGGTTACCGCTACTACGTCCAAGGAGGCGTGGGATACCCTGCAGCAGATGTTTTCGTCGTCAACTCGTGCTCGCACTGTTCAAATCCGTGCTGAGCTTGTCATGTCCAAGAAACGTGATCTGTCTGCTACAAATTATTTTCACAAGATCAAAGGGGTGGCCACCAAGATAGCCGCCGCTAGCTCGGCCTTGCAGGACGATGATGTGATTGCATATCTTCTTGTTGGTCTTGGCCCTGACTATGATCCATTCGTCACCTTGATGACTATCAAAAGTGAAGCCCTCACGCTTGATGATGTGTTTGCATATCTAATGGCATTTGAAGCTCGCCAACTACAACACCAGACTGAACTTCAGTTAAATTCTGGATCTTCTGCCAAGTATATTGGTCAGCAAAAGAACCGTGGGTGTAGGGATTGTGGTCGTGGACGTTCTCAAGGTGGTGCGCCCTCTCGTCCTGCTGGTGATCGTCGTGACCCTTCTGCTCGTCCTTCCTGCCAGATCTGCAGCAAAGTGGGGCATACTGCTGTTCGTTGCTGGCATAGGATGGATGAGTCCTATCAAGATGAACCTCCTACTCCTTCTGCAACACCGAAAACTACTTCTTCTTACAAGATTGATCCAAATTGGTATAGCGACATATGTGCCACTGTTCATATTACTAGTGACCTGGATCGTCTCGCTGTGCGTGAACACTATCATGGAGGTGAACAAGTTCAAGTCGACAATGGAGCAGGTTTGCATATTTTGTATATTGGTCATTCTTTAATTAATACTGTTGTTCGTCCTCTTGCATTGGGTAATATTTTGCATGTGCTTGAAATTTCCAAACATCTCCTTTCCGTTCATAAATTTCCTCTGTGGTGTGACAACATTGGTGCCACCTATTTGTCAACCAATCCAATCTTTCATCGACGGACAAAACATGTTGAGGTTAATTATCACTTCGTTCGTGAACGAGTATCGACTCGTTAGCTTGATGTGCGACTCATATCTTCCAAGGATTCTCTCGCCAATATCATGACAAACCCAGCTCCTTCTTTTACCAGTTTTAGGGGCAACCTAAACTCATTATACACATTTATAAATACATGAGTCTGACCCATAGTACCATTCATCCTACCCATAGTACCATTCAACCTAACCACTACAAGAGTTATAAATTTTTTACATTTTTATCATTATTTCCAAACATTTCAAGGTATTCAATAAGAAGTATACCAAAATATATATATATATATATTTTGAAGTTCATTGACATATATATAAATTAATCAGTTAAATTATATTCAAAACTATTATATGGTAAAAGATATATGTAGCCGAGGATTTGAAGGTCTAAAATTAAATTAAAAAAATATCTAAGAAGCAACTAAATGTATTATTATTACTAACTTTATTGGCAATTAAAAATACCCCTTAAAAGAATCCAGAAACACACGCGCAAGGATAGGCGCGTAAATGATTGAGAGATGAAATAAGGACAGAGAAGGAATAGATTTTGAAATGGAGGGCGTGGACTTGTGTAAATCAGAGCAGTTAAGATGCGACGCGTGTCCACTCACCAGCTGTATCCCAACTCCCGTCAAAACGGCTTCACAGGAACTCCCGGTAACCAATCCCCATAACCCCCACTCTCCTCTCCCACCAACGTCCAACCTTCCACCTCCTCTTCCGGTAGCCTTCCCCTCCCTTTTAAATATCCCCCAAATCCCCAGGAAGCCCTGTATGTATGTCTTCTCCGATTCCAACCAACCGAGTTTCTTCTTCATTTTGCTTCCATGGCGAAAGAAATTGACCGAATCAAAGGCCCTTGGAGCCCCCAAGAGGACGAGGCCCTTCGGAGATTGGTCCGTAAATACGGCCCACGGAACTGGTCCTTGATCAGCAAATCCATTCCCGGCCGCTCTGGAAAGTCCTGTCGGCTCCGGTGGTTCAACCAGCTCTCGCCGCAGGTCGAGCATCGAGCCTTCACCGCCGAAGAAGACGAGACGATCATTAACGCTCAAGCTCTGTACGGCAATAAGTGGGCCACCATCGCCAGGCTTCTCTCCGGCCGGACCGATAACGCTATCAAAAACCACTGGAACTCAACCTTGAAACGGAAGAGCGGGGGTTGTAATACCAGTTCGCCGCCGTTGAAGAGTCCTTCTGAGTCCGATGTTAGCGATTCTAGCTTTTTCCCCTCTCTATCCTCCTCCCATGTGTACCGCCCGGTGGCTAGAAGCGGTGGCGTTGTACCTCCCTGCGAAACGGTGTCGGCTTCAAACGATCCGCTAACATCATTGTCGTTGTCGCTTCCAGGTGCGGAGTCGTCGGAGGTTAATTTTGGGGACAAGTCTCTGCCGGCAATTGGTGGAATTTGGGCGGAGGAGAGGAATAAGAATGGATTTGAGATTGGTGGGTCGGATTTAATGGGTGTGATGCAGGAGATGATAAGAAAGGAGGTGAGGAAGTACATGGGGGGATTAATGGAACAGAAGGTCGGCGGCGGGGTTTGTGTGCAGCAAGCTGCCGCCGGTGGGTTTAGAAGCTTCGTCAGCGTGAGCAAGAGTGTGTAAGTGAACAAAAATAAAGATGATTAGTGTTTTGTTTTGTGTTGTGTGTATAGAAGGAGAGTGTTAGTGTTTGGATGGCGGAGATTGGGGCCTGTAATGGATATGATAATGAAGATGTAAAGAAGAAGAAGGCTGTGGGTCCATATCCACGAGAAGATGATAGAGTTTCAAAACCCATTTGTAACTCTTAAACTTTTTAATCTGTTTATACTTTTCCCCTTTTAATAAAACATAAATTTTGACTAACCAAATGAATGAAACACTTAGAATTTGTTTTCCGTGTGCAAACTTTGCTAACGACTAGCCTCAAGAGAAACTTAAGCCCCTATTTTTTTTTTAGATGAGGTTTGTCTTCGCTAACTGAATATCACTTGTGTGGAATCCAAGTTTGATCGACTACTCATGTTGCCTGTGCGTGCATGTTCAATCATCTATGATACAACCAACTTGCCTTTACACTAAGCTAAGTTATTTTGTTCGACCTTACCTCTATTCTTACTTGGTCATGTCATGTCACTGTTAATGAGGTCACGTCACGTGTTGTTCATAATATTGGAATATCTTAAACATCCATCTATCTAGGTTTTATTGAGGCATTGGCTCTCTCTCGTGCCCATGTCGTGTCATCTACAGATGTCGGACCGGATGGCGAGTGCAAAATCCAACCTTTGACACTCAGGTTGGGGTGCAATACTAGCACACTCGTGCCGCTCAGTACTGTCCTTGAAAGACCTATTCAAAGAAAGTCATCCGAGACACTCATCTCGACACGTTCGCTCTCACTGTGACACATGCATGTGCCACGGAATAGATCGCTTAGGCCACAGGGTCCAAGGGTGGTAGAGAGCTGACACAATGTCTCATCTAGTACATTTTGAGATATTTTGAAAGTGGCGGGCGTAGACACGATTTGGTGAACGGACATATGGTGTCGTGGAGCGTCTATTCGGTGTTCGATTGACACCAAATTTGGTGAGCCTTCATATTTCATATGAACAGATTTGACTCCAAAATCGCATAACCAAATTCTCTCAAGAACTCCAAATTTCGAGGCTAAGACTCTGGGTCCTACCTGACCCTTCAGCAAGCCTATCTTTGATACTCTTGTCTACTTGTTGTCCTTATCTTGCCTATGCCTTGTTTCCTCTTCAATGCGCATGTTATATGGTGTGTTAGATGATATATCGTTCTCATCGGTCGCATCATGACACCCATTTAAGCTTTCACGTGGCCGATGAGCGTCACTTGAGGGTCGCAACTACTCTTGTCTCAACGTAAGGGTCACAATCTACTCTCTTCATAGTTAGGTTGTGACATTTGACCGCTATTAACATAGGATTTAAAAATCGAACTCTTAGCCACACATTTTCCTCCCATCATTTGCCCTCTTCAATCTTTCAAATTGTTTTCCTATAAACTTATTTGATCTCGTTACTCTTTCTAGTTCTTCTCCTTCTATCTTTCCCTTTTCGAAAATGTCCTTACTCTGTGTATCTATCTACTCATCTTTAACATTTGCCTCCCTATGAACCATTTTGCTTCCCTCTCATCTCTTTTGAAACATAATTCCTAGATCAACTTTATTTCTCCTATCTTTTCACCCGTGCGTTCTCCCTCTATTTTGGCTGGTTTGACTTTCGACTATCACTCATTTATTTGATCTACTTTTTTTTCTTACGATTTCTTTCAACCAATCAATTAGGCTAACGATTGATTGGATTTTTTAGGTTACATGCACCCGAAAAAGTCAAATCTATAGTAGAAAATTGTTGTTGACGAGTTACACTTTGATGGCGAGAGTTTCTCGTTTCAATATACACATGCCAGTAAGATTTTCTATTTTTCAGTTGATGATGTCAAGGATGATGTCAACCTTTGTAGAAGATGTTCATTTTTTAAATTATTTTCACTCCACATAATTAATTTTTTATTAATTTATTTTTTAATTAGCAATATCCATTTTATTTGTAAAGACTGAATTAATATCCTCTACAACATTGACCGAGAAAAGTGTTTATTGCAACCACCGTCAAGATACCATGTAGACTTTTTTTTTTTTTTTTTTTTTTATCAGTACCC